CGGTAGTTTTGTCTTATTAGTTTAAGGAAATCATCTGGAGAGGTGGCCAAACGATAGTGCTTGGTTGGCTGCCGCTTGAAAGACATTTGACAAATTGACATACGGTTGACAAATTGACAATGTGGATACCAAATTTCGTTTTTTGTTGGGAATAAATATTTCTCCAGCTCTAACAGGTTTCTGTTTATAATGACAGTCATTTCGTTTCTGACATGCGGAAAACGCGAATGATGACAACAATGATTTCCAAACATCCGGATGTTTCGCTTAACCTACAAGAAACGCCTTCTCTTAAATGAGACAGGCTTATTTCTCTTCTGAAGCAGTAGTATTGTGTGAATGGTTTATCGTATTCATCAAATGAGGAAGCTAGACAAAAAGCCCTGGTTGGCTGCCAGGTTGAAAGACATTTGAAGAATTGGCATACGGTTGACAGATTGATAAGGTGGATACAAATTTTCGTTTTTTGTTGCAAATGGCTGATTTTCCTTCTGAAACAGTAGTTTTAGCTAAACGATTTAAAAAATCATCTAGAGAGGAAGGCCAAACGATAATGCCTTTACAACCGTGGCAGACGGAGCTATCCTCTGACAGATGTGCAAGCTTTTAATGAAATAAAAAAGACACTGACGCGTTTTCGTTATTTGTAGAAAAACACCAGCACAATCATAATCAGGTTTAGTAATATCTCCAACATTGTCATGAATTTGATCACCATGCTTAGGCAAAAAACCATCCACATCGAAGTTTAAAGCTTGCTCAACACTGAACTTATCCAGTCCAAATAAAATCGCAATGACCATACGTGTTTCCGAAAAGCGCTCCATGGCACCGTTCCATTACGCATTGGAAGGTACATATTTGTCTTCATGACAGCGTTGTGAAGTCCCGTCGTCCAATTGCTTGACCAGTGACGCCAAAGCATCAGCAACAGCTTCAGCCAACGTAGGAACGCTTATCCTTCTTTGATTGGGTTTTAAATTCCCTGTTTCTTCTGGATCTTCACCATGTCCTTGAACGTCTGTTGGTCTTTCATCAAACCTTTTGACCATCATAGCATCGTTCACCAAACAGATTCCGTAGAGGGTATGGATCATATCGCCACCCTTCACTTCAAAGCGCCGAATGGTAGCCACGTTGGTGCCGTTGAAACGGCTTCAGCCAAAGTGCATGTTACTGTCCAATAGATACAACGGTGTCAGGCGCCTGGTTTCGGCTGCACTGGCCCGGGCTGCTTCATCCATGCCGGCTTTCTCAGTCAGCATGACTGCGGTCAAGCGGAGAAAGCCGGTCTTGGTCAGCGAGACATTCGTCCCGTAGACTTCCCAGGAACAACTGTCCGGCTGTTCCTTTCATTCACCAAAAACCACACGAATCGTACTGACTTTCCCGTCGCTGTTCGGTCCCACGTCGACGAATTTGTCGTTGCCCATACGGTATACTACTATACTGGCTATCCCAGTTGCGGAAAGCAAATAGGCGATGCTTAGATATGGTAGCCGACAAAATGTTGGGCTTGACCTTCTCGGCCCCGGCTTTCCTTCATCTTCCGGCTCTTGACTTTTTCGTTTGGACTTCGGTACAGCGGTTTGCAAACGCTTGGACGTCAACTGACCAAGAAATTCCTTGCTAAAAGACAAACTAACAAAAGATGTAAATGAAACAACGTGATGGAGATTGAACCACTTGCAATCACCTTATACAGGAAGATTTCTGGCTTGTTTTCACCGTGGACGAAATGGCTACGCTTTGTATACTGCACACCGACTGGTTCGTTATCAATGGAACCAAGTACATCAGACATTTGGCGTTTTACTGCCCCGATGAAGCTGAGCAGAATCTGTCTGTTTTTCCGTTACCACGCTTCGCTATCAGCACATCTCCGTAAAAAAAGACAAGCGCGCCACTCACACGGTTTACTGTGGAATACAAAGGGGAATATCGACACAATCAGGTGACCTGCGGAGAATATCTTCCGAAGAAGAGGGCGACCCAGCCAAGTCCGTTTTTTTTTGCCAAAAGTTGAAAAGAGCCGGTTAAAGCGGTAGAACTTGCTGGTAGTAAAAAATCTGGAATTCTGGCTGCCCACTGCAAATTATAGGCTCACCTCACTGTCTCGACACTACGGAAAGCCGTTAGATTTGCATTGTGATACCACTACTATGCCCAATGTCGTTGCCGTTGCGGATTAAAACTGTACCCTGTTTGGCTGCAAGTTTAAAAGACTTTTGACAAATTGACAATCGGATGACAAATTGACAAGGTAGATACAAGATTTTGTTTTCTGTTGGGAATGACTATTTTTCCAGCTCGAGCAGGTTTCTATATATAGTTGTCAGTCATTTCTTTCCTGATATTGGGAAAACACGAATGATAACAATAATTATTTCCAAACATCCGGAGGTTTCGCAAAATCTACAAGAAACGCCTTCTTCTTAATGAGACAGGCCTATTTTTCTTCTGAAGCAGTAGGTTTGTCTGAAAGGTTTATCGTATTCATCTAAAGAGGAAGCCAGACAAAAATGCCTGGTTGGCTGCAAGTTTGAAAGACTTTTGACAAATTGACATTTGGATGACAAATTGACAAGGTAGATACAAGATTTTGTTTTTTGTTGGGAATGACTATTTTTCCAGCTCTAGCAGGTTTCCATATATAGTGACGGTCATTTCTTTCCTGATATTCGGAAAACACGAATGATAACAACAATGATTTCCAAACATCCGGACGTTTGCAAAATCTACAAGAAACTCCTTCTCCTTAATAGGACAGGCCTATTTCTCTCCAGAAGCAGTAGTTGTGTCTGGATGGTTTATCGTATTCATCTAAAGAGGAAGGCCAAACGATAATGCCTTGTTGGCTGCCAGTTTGAAAGATTTTTGACAGATTGACATACGGAGGACAAATTGACAAGGTGGATACAAAATTTCGTTTTTTGTTAGGCGTGACTATTTTCCCAACTCTGACAGGTTTCTGTCTAGAGTGACAGTCGTTTCTTTTATGATATTCGGAAAATGCGAATGATTACATCAATAATTTCTAAACATCCGGATGTTTCGCAAAAAGTACAAGGATCGCCTTCCGCTTAATGAGACAGGCTTATTTCTCTTCTGAAACAATAGTTTTGTCTGAAGGATTCAAAGCAATCATCTAGAGAGGAAGCAAAACATTAATGCCTGGTTGGCTGCTAGTTTGAAAAATTTTTGACAAATTGACAAAGTGGATACAAAGCTTCGTTTTTTGTTGGGAATGACTAATTTTTCTTCTGAAGCGGTAGTTTAGTCTAGTTGATTCATGGTAATCCTCTACACAGAAAGTGGTGAATACCTATCTAGCCGACCAAAAAAGCAAGCACTGGTTGGCGCTGCACTAGGAGCAAGCCGGCAAAATTGGGAATGTGTGATTCGTACGGAAAAGCTTTGGAAACTACTCTCAGCATTTCGCACCACTGGTAGCTGTCAATGAATAAACTTTAGAAAATGAACAGTTTCAGCCTTATTGTAGCACTGTTTGTGGACAATATTGTATGTTTATTATTCTACGAGGTTGCAGTGGTGAATCGTACACCAACTTTGTGCAGTTGTTACGGATAGTAGAATAATTAACGGGAAAATGTTGTGTCAGTATGTCAACTCTTCCTTCGACATCAGTACAACCATGGCAGACGGAGCTATCCTCTGACAGATGTGTGTCATATAGAGAATGTATTTCCGTGTCACGTCTGTACATCTACATAGCCTCTTGTGTTATTTACCTAAATACCTTCACCTCTTTTATTCGTATATAAACGCTACCGTTTCTCTCATACGGTATTCCTGCTCTCATCATTATACGTTCATCTCGATGCTATTTCTCTACGATCATCACCGACTGTACGTTTATTATTAAAGCTATTTATTATCATCCGCGTATTCTCATTTACGAGTAGAACCCTTTTGTAACAATGGTGGCTCCAGGGGTTGTCTAAATTCGGTTTAGACACTGTAGCTTTCATGTCATCCAAGTCAAAGCCGGACAAACGCAAGCACGCTGACCTCTCCATCTTACTGGATCATCAAAGGACATCACCGCAACAAACAAAGTACCAGCACACTGACGAGCCTTTATCTGACAACACCGAGCACGCACTCCGTTCAACATACCGGATACCAGAGATTACTGGAGCGCAAGGCTACGCTGCTCTCGACCTTGCAGAAGGAAGATCACGAATCAATCGGGATCGACCACTAAATACCAACCAACCTCCACCGGACACTCGAAATTCAGCTCCTGCTTCGACATCCACTCACAACGCGCAACCTACGGGTCAAGAAGCACCAGTACAACACCCTCAGTTATCTGCTTCTAAAGACAACCTATCAACTTCCAGCCAATCATCGACTTCCGGGGAAGAATCCACACACTCACCACCACCTCGAACATCACCACCTCGGACAACAGCGCTTCAGATATCATCACCCCGACCACCACCACCTCGGTCATCACCACCTCGGGTTATCCAGAACAACTCTCCAATCAGATCCATCATGGCATCCTCTGATATAAAACTGGAAGACATCGACAGAGTAAAATACTTCTCTCGCTTGTATCTATTGGCAACTTATTATCCAGTCATCGCAAGAGTGACTTACGGCAATCTAGAGGATTTCGTAGCGACGGTGAACTTCGTTCAGAAGAACAGTGATGCCGCATTTTCGGAAGCGATACAAGCCAACCCCTTACGGTTCACATTAACTGAAGCAGAAGCCAGGGAAGTCAAGGCAATGTTAACGGACTTATCGTACCGGCAGTTAGTGGATAAATCATTGAAATCAGCACACAACGTCCCTGTCTTAATGCAAATAACTCCGAAAGATATGCCACACTTCGGGGAGAGTTCGGAGACGTTCGCGATTTTGTCAGCAGGATCGAAATTTTCGCTAAAGTCTACGACTGGGACAACACCAGCATTCTCAGTTACATCAACCTGTCATTCACCGCGAACGAGCTGTGATGGTACGAATCAGAACGGTCAAAACACCGTGTTTGGGACACTCTCCGAACAGCACTTCTCAAGACATTTGGGCCAACTGACCTGGACTATGACCTAAAGAAAGAACACTTCCAAAATTTGGCTAAGAAGGATCCTGTTTCGTATGTCAGCAAAGTACTGAAAATGTACGAGGTCATCAACCCGACAGCAACGGAAAGAGATAAAGCGACTGAGTTATTTCGAGAACTACCGACCCGGATGAAGACCAGTTTTATTTCAAACAGACCAACGAACGTTAAAGACTTCCTGGATAGCTGACAGCCGAGTCCAAGAAAATCTAGTACAAAGAGAAAGCGGAAAGAAAAGAACTGGAAGACCAAGAAAAACACAAACCGGCATTTGCAGTTTCAACCCAACCTGACAAGATTGCTGAAATGACCCAGAAATTCGACCAGGTGATGACGATGATCAACAACATCAATCAAAAGCAAGACTTCCGTCCACGAGGCAACAACAACAACACCGACCCGGACACCGCTTTGCCGACTGCTATTCAAAATGTCACAACTGCGGAAGGAACGATCACGTCACCACGGACTGTCGACATTCTCGACAGTACAGGTCAAACGGCATGCAACGCGGAAACAGCTACCAGCGCGGAATGTATAATGGCCGACCTCAAAGACGACCGACCTACTTCACGTACACGGATGGAGAAGGAAATGATGAAAGTGAATACGTCGTGGAAGGACCGTTAAACTAAAACCCGCGGCGAAATTCGGCTCTTTTTACCGCGGATTCATCAACCCTCATATGCAACGTTTCATCCGGCGCACTCTCTTGTTACGTACGAATCAACAATAAGCCGACCGAAGCCATACTCGACACTGGATCTGGTATTTCACTTGTAAACAGGAGGTTTGTGAACGAAAGGAATTTGCGCGCCCATACCTGGACAGGTACACGCGCTACGTCGGCTTCGGGGGATACACTTAAATAACAAAGGCTTGTCGATTCGCTGTGAATTTACTTGGGACACGTACAAATGTAACGGCCGCGATATTGGACGATTTTTCGTTCAAACTGCTTTTGGGAACGGATTACTTAAACAGCACGCCATTTGTTGTGAAATTCGCAAACTCAAGGATGTACAACCCTGTGACGAAACTTGTGACTAAAGTAAGGACTGTCGCAGATGCTCCAAGCACATCCATCCAAAGACAACCTCCCAACGCCTCAACGGAGACTGTACACCTCTGGCGAGACAAAGGGAATACGGGTGCTTCTCGTCCATACAACGCGAGGTCAAGTGCAAATGGGCCAGAAAGTGTACACCTGGACCCAGCGGCAGATCCTCAACGCGCGCGTAATCAAAGTATATCGAATGAGAAGGAAGTACATGAGTTAATCTTGTGAAACCCCGTGGACATGGGAAACCCCGACGACGAGTCACAAGAAAATACCAAGGATGCGTACGACGATATTGATGGTCAGTTAAACCCGAACGACCTGCTTAGGAAATTCGGCCAAATTTTTAGCAAGCGATCCATCGTTCGAAGAATTCAAAGAGACGTTATAGTTGGGCCCAGAGCTGACCACTGACCAGAAAGAGGCATTATTGAAACTGCTGTACAAGTATCGACACGTGTTCCCAACGAAAGACCAACCTATGGGACGAGCCAACTGCATCGAGCACACGGTTAACACCGGCACGGATTCTCCGACAGCAAGAAACCTACGCAGATACTCGCGAAGGGAAAAAGAAGCCATGGACAAGCAGATTGAAGATTGGATAAAACTCGGCATTATCAAACCCTGTCAGTCAAACTATGCAGCGAATTTGGTCCTAGTTCAACAGAAGAATGGGATAAGGACATGCGTCGACTACCGGGACCTAAACGCTTCGACGATAAAAGACGTATCCGCTCCCACGGATAGACGATTGCCTGGACGTCCTTCGAGGAGCAAAGTACTTTTCCGGATTAGACATGGTCCAAGGATACCTTCAAGTTCCGATGGATGAGGAGTCGAAAGACAAAACCGCCTTCCTAACACCTTCAAATCAGTACCGCTTCGAGGTAATGCCGTTCGGCTTAACGAACGCCCCCGCAACCTTTATGAGAATGATGACAAAAATTTTTAATGGAATTACGTACAAATTTGTTCTAATCTACTTGGACGACATTAACGTATTCAGCAAAACTTTCGAAGAGCATCTAGCTTACTTGGAAGAAGTTCTACGGAGACTTTCCGAAGCGGACCTGAAGCTAAAACCCTCAAAGTGTGCATTTGGACATACACAAATTGACTTCTTGGGACACGTAGTAAATCCCTACGGCATCAGTCCCAATCCGAAGAAGGTTGAAGCAATTACCAAACTCGAAGCCCCGACGAACAAGAAACAGTTACGATCCTTCCTGGGAATGGTTAGTTACTATGGTAAATTCATTCGTGACATTGCGACGCGTTCCGCTCCTCTTCACGTCCTGACATGCAAAGAACGACGAAATGACTTTCCTACTGGTCGTACCGAAGACTATGCACGCCGAAGTTCTTAAAAATGCGCATGACCTTTCCGGCCATTTTGGTCAAGAAAAGACGTACTACAATTTACAAGGTCGTTATTACTGGCCTGGAATGATTGAATCCGTATCCCGTCACCTCGCATCCTGTATTCCATGCAACGTTAAAAAGCCGCCAAACGGGAAACCATCCGGATATTTGCAACCGATTAAAGTCCACGGGCCGTTCCATACCATCGGGATTGACTACCAGGGACCCTTTACAACATCAACAAAAGGCAATCAGTATTTACTGGTCGCGATCGATCATCTAACAAAGTGGATCGAAACCAAACCGGTTCGCAGTGCCACCGCCGAAAATGCAGCAAAATTCCTCATGGAAAATGTGATTTTACGACACGGAGTCCCGTCCTTCATCGTTTCCGATCGGGGTACACGCTTCTGCAATGAGCTGTTATCCCAGTTGACTAAGCTAGTCAATTGTGAACAACGGTTCACAACAGCTTATCACCTCCAATCGAATGCATTAACAGAGCGCGCAAATCAGACGATTGCCCAAAGCCTTTCAAAATATGTGGATCAGCATAACAGAAGGGACCAGTTCATACCTTTCGTCAATCACGCCATCAACACCTCACTCAGCAAAACAACAAAATTTTCCCCATTTGAACTCCTGTATAGAAGAAAAGCCACAACTCCTCTCGACGTTGCCACTGGTGCCACTGAACGACAATTAATAAATGATATGGATCAATACGTTAAAGAACTCAAATTTTTTTTCCCAGCGACGCTCAAGAAATCGCAAAACTCTGCTGCAATGCTGCCTTTGATCAATGCACCACTTTATAATCAACATCGAACGACCGTTGATTATCCAATCGGTAGTCTCGTTTACCGTTGGAATGTTCCTCGAGTTGTTGACAAGACCGGCGCGATCAGGAAAACAAAAGGAAGATTGACAACAAAATTACTTAAGAACTGGCATGGACCGTATAAGATATTGGAGAAAGTCAGCAATGTCAATTACAAGATTGCCAATGTTAACGGACGCCGTAAGATCGGCACTGTGCGTGTTTCGCAACTCAAGTCTTGGTATAACCACGCCGACGAAGAAGTTAACGTCCAACAAACAGACCAGCCCCAGGCGGAACAAGATCAGCCAGCTGAAAGTGAAAGCGAACCGCAACCACCACGCTACAACCTGCGCCAGCGAAAATGAAATTCATTCTGCACAAACCATGATCCCACCATTTCACCATAATCTCTACGAGATTCCTTCAAGAAGGGGAATGTCATATAGAGAATGTATTTCCGTGTCACGTCTGTACATCTACATAGCCTCTTGTGTTATTTACCTAAATACCTTCACCTCTTTTACTCGTATATAAACGCTACCGTTTCTCCCATACGATATTCATGCTCTCTTCATTCTACGTTCATCTCGATGCTATTTCTGTACGATCATCACCGACTGTACGTTTATCATTAAAGCTATTTAGTATCATCCGCGTATTCTCATTTACGAGTAGAACCCTGTATAACATGTGCAAGCTTTTAATGAAATAAAAAAAGACACTGACGCGTTTTCGTTATTTGTACGAGCAATGAAAAACACCAGCACAGTCATAATCAGGTTTAATAATATCTCCAACGTTGTCATGAATTTGATCACCATGCTTAGGCAAAAAACCATCCACATCGAAGTTTAAAGCTTGCTCAACACTGAACTTATCCAGTCCAAATAAAATCGCAATGACCATACGTGTTTCCGAAAAGCGCTCCATGGCACCGTTCCATTACGCATTGGAAGGTACATATTTGTCTTCATGACAGCGTTGTGAAGTCCCGTCGTCCAATTGCTTGACCAGTGACGCCAAAGCATCAGCAACAGCTTCAGCCAACGTAGGGAACGCTTATCCTTCTTTGATTGGGTTTTAAATTCCCTGTTTCTTCTGAATCTTCACCATGTCCTTGAACGTCTGTTGGTCTTTCATCAAACCTTTTTGACCATCATAGCATCGTTCACCAAAAGAGATTCCGTAGAGGGTATGGATCATATCGCCACCCTTCACTTCAAAGCGCCGAATGGTAGCCACGTTGGTGCCGTTGAAACGGCTTCAGCCAAAGTGCATGTTACTGTCCAATAGATACAACGGTGTCAGGCGCCTGGTTTCGGCTGCACTGGCCCGGGCCGCTTCATCCATGCCGGCTTTCTCAGTCAGCATGACTGCGGTCAAGCGGAGAAAGCCGGTCTTGGTCAGCGAGACATTCGTCCCGTAGGTGACTTCCCAGGAACAACTGTCCGGCTGTTCCTTTCATTCACCAAAAACCACACGAATCGTACTGACTTTCCCGTCGCTGTTCGGTCCCACGTCGACGAATTTGTCGTTGCCCATACGGTATACTACTATACTGGCTATCCCAGTTGCGGGAAAGCAAATAGGCGATGCTTAGATATGGTAGCCGACAAAATGTTGGGCTTGACCTTCTCGGCCCCGGCTTTCCTTCATCTTCCGGCTCTTGACTTTTTCGTTTGGACTTCGGTACAGCGGTTTGCAAACGCTTGGACGTCAACTGACCAAGAAATTCCTTGCTAAAAGACAAACTAACAAAAGATGTAAATGAAACAACGTGATGGAGATTGAACCACTTGCAATCACCTTATACAGGAAGATTTCTGGCTTGTTTTCACCGTGGACGAAATGGCTACGCTTTGTATACTGCACACCGACTGGTTCGTTATCAATGGAACCAAGTACATCAGACATTTGGCGTTTTACTGCCCCGATGAAGCTGAGCAGAATCTGTCTGTTTTTCCGTTACCACGCTTCGCTATCAGCACATCTCCGTGTAAAAAGACAAGCGCGCCACTCACACGGTTTACTGTGGAATACAAAGGGGGAATATCGACACAATCAGGTGACCTGCGGAGAATATCTTCCGAAGAAGAGGGCGACCCAGCCAAGTCCGTTTTTTTGCCAAAAGTTGAAAAGAGCCGGTTGTTAAAGCGGTAGAACTTGCTGGTAGTAAAAATCTGGAATTCCTGGGCTGCCCACCGTACCATAGGCTCACCTCACTACCTGTCTCGACACTACGGAAAGCCGTTAGATTTGCATTGTGATACCACTACTATGCCCAATGTCGTTGCCGTTGCGGTTGCGGATTTAAACTGTACCCTGGATCTGAACAGAATTGAATACTGTTGGCAATGGCTCAGTACATTCCGCAGCGATTTTCCGGACTTTCAGTCCGCATCATCAAACCTTATAAAGCACATTTGCCAACTTTACCGCAATGGAAAAACAACAGTTAACGGAGCTCGTTCAGAGGAACAGGCAAAGGAATTGATGGAAACATTTGCTGGTATGTTGGTGAATATTGGATACCCTTGTGTGTTTTAGGATATCGGGTTGTTAACATTGTAGCTACCCGCACATATCCTCACTGTGTGCAGATCGAGAATTTTAGCGAATTTTTTAAGCTTGAATATACCCCTTAACTGTTCAGTGGGCTCGGTATAAGACTTGAAAATGGCCGCGCAGTTTTGTTTTCTTCTGGTGAATGCAATTTTTAAGGTTTAAAGTCCGCTTCTGATTTAACTCAGTGCAGTGCAACGGGTCGAGGTTATGCTTCAACAACTTAATAAATTCAAAACAGCTTAAATCCATACGGAAGGGTGTTGTAATCAGTATCAACAATCCGAAGTTTGTCATACGTCACTTGAAAGCGTTTTTGCATGCTGATGCTATGTACCTTTAAACCTTTCTTTACACGTTTAAGAGTATCAGGGTATTGGATACCAATGCTACTGCGAGTTTCAAACATTTGTAGCATTGTTACAAAGTTAATTAAGTTTGCTCACTCGTTCGTCCATTCAAAGTGAATCCTTTGAGTTTTGTCACTGTTTGTTGGAGCGGGTGGTGCAGGTCAGCGAAATTGAGAACTTTCAGTCGCTACGTGCAGCCAGCATTGGCGCTGATTCAGGAAGATCCAATAGCATCACTTCGATTTTTCATGCACCACAATACGAATAGCCGTGGCGACAAAGAAGAGCAAGTTATCAGGCAGCGTTATCAAGAATATCAATGAAATTAGGAAGCACACAATCCCTTATGGCTTATGGGTAGAACAACATTCCGAAAGAAGCTGGTTTGGCATTGGCAGGACGTCAGAAACCGTCTCAATCGAAATTTCAGCACTTGTAATTTTTGACAAAAGTGAATCAATACAGCAGCAGTCAATTACGTACTTCTTCGAAGAAAACTGAGTGAACCAACGGTATTTGTGTCTGACGCTGAGGGAAGTCGGTTCCTGCTGTCGCTACTCCCGTTCGTCGAAAATTCAAAAATTTTCTGTCCTGGAAGGATGCGTTTTTGCTATTCGTTCGTTTTAGAACGTTTTATAATTCTGATCTGGCCGGATGTTTTTTCGCTTACGTATATTGAGATTATCCGTGGTTTGATAATATCGCGCCCATTGTTAATGTGGCTCAAATACGATCCCCGTTTCCGGGAAAAATTGACCTTTCCAGGTGTACCTGAGCTAGCTTGGTTTACCGAAGATACAGATACTGCAGTCATGACTGATACGGTGCGCTCTGTACCCTTATGCGATAACTCCAGCCTGTTGTTAGCCGTTGTTGCTCATGCAACCAGCCTGTGACTTCCGGAATTCCTCCATTCGGCTGCTTTAAATGCAAAGATCCTTTTCACTTTTACCAGGCGAAACTTTGTCCACAGCGTCCGGAGTGAACCGTACTGGTTCCGACAGCCCTACCTACAAGGCCTCGCAGCAAGTACGTAGCAAGTTTCGCGCAATCATCTGTCGGGACTATAACAATAATGCCGCTGTGCAGCACCATGCCCGCACCGCCGGATCCACGTCTTCAAGCAATGTTACGATGCCCCACACATTCGTATTCTTCATCATTCTGTTGAATTCTGTTTACGTTGCGCTTTCTGTACCAAACTGCCATTATATCTCAACTTTTACTTTTCTCATAGTGCTGCAGCAGCTCACACTTCACTCAGACTTTCCCTCCCCTGCCAAAATTAACGATCTACCAATTAATTTCTTTGCAGTTCTCCCGATTGACTCGGTGTGGTTGAGTGTTGCCTGGCGGTTTCGGGGTGTCCGCGCGGCTTGCATCATAGCCCGGGTGACCGACAGCTCCCTTCAGTGCGTCGTCTGGACATTGCCCACGCTGATCGCTTGCACATAGAAAATATCGTTTACCGCCTGTTCCATTATTAAGGGCAGAACAGTTGTAAAGGGCATTAACGTTATATCAAATCCAGACTGTCACGGCTTGAGGTGGCGGCATAATGCATTTATTATGAACCGCCACTGAGGGCGCAAACAACCAACTGATCGTTGTCATCAGGACAACAATGGCACACTGCAACCGCAGTTGCCATGCTGGACAATACACTACATAGAGATCACAGCGGACACGCCACACAGACAGAATGTATAACTTCGGAGATTTGCAATCAGATTTCAACTACCCAGAAAACTCAACGTGTTCAAATGCAACAGAATTAAGATTCAGAGTTAATGTTCACAACAACCAAGAATATGTCATTGTGAGATCTCGTACTGGCTCTGTATCATCGCGAAATTAAGAAAAATTTTTGGATCAGTTTTATCATCGCCGTTTCGAGGGATTAAGTGTCTACAAGCAGTGGTGTCATGTCTTCGGGAATTTCTGCAGTCGGGAGGAAGAACAGAGAACGCTGGTGGGCTGATAAGGTTCAGCCTGCTGTGATGACATGGCGATTTTGGCAGTGTCGCTGCAAGAACTATGTAGCAGTCCACACGGTCACGGATACGGCCGAACAGAAAACAGTGCTGCTCGCTCGACGCCTCAGGCGTGGAGGCGCTGGAAGTCCTGATTTTCATGTGTCTACTAGGCAGTCCATTTACCGCTAGCCAGCTGGCAGACAAATTGGAGCAAGTGTTTGTTAAGAAAACACCGAAGGAGACCGAGTTTGCGTTTTATTTTAGGATCAAGCTGCAGCCTGAGGAGAT